GCTGTAAAGAGGAGAGCTTATATTTTCAATCTGGCCTGGGCCTATAACCTGATTTGCATGAACCTGAATCCCCATGCAAATGACAAAGCAATATTGCATGTAGAGTTGTTACCATTCTGATATACTTATACCCCTGCTCAGGCACATTTGTGTTTGTTCAACACCTACAGAGCACACCCGTGGTTTATACGATAACTATGCTGAGCGGAGCTTAGTTACAGTTTCAGTGAGAGAGCACATTATCTGTATAATCAACAATCTGAACAAAGCCAATCTGCTCAAACCCTCAGTCACAATGACTTGTGACTTTGTGCTAGCCCAACTATTGATGGCTCACAAATATTTTCATCTACCCAATTTCACTCAGAAGGCTTGGGTCAATCCATGGTATGGTTTTCAGGGACTTTACAAAGGTGTTGCATGCTGGGATCCCCTCCTGAGGCCAATAACATCAAGAAGTCAGTTTCTTGACAAATTGACCATGGTAAGATTCAAATCCAGGTCTCATGATCAGAAAGTGAATGTTCTGAACACTAGGTCAACATACTTGCATACACGGATACAAAAGAAAGAATGGAGAGCTAAAAAAAAGACAATGTTCTGACTTTGATATTCTGCCCCATCACAAATCATTGTGACTTTATTTTGCTAACAGCTGTTAATGTGAAATAGACAAGAATTAATAAATAATGGCTCAAAATTATTAATCAGAGAATCAAGCTTGAACTCTAGTTGGGTTTGTTAGAATCACTTACATGCAAATACCCTTGGGAAAAGAATGAATCAACCTCTTCTCCCCCCCCAGCTATGGGTTAATTAGTAATCCTTGTATCACTAAAAAACATCTCAAACAGAAAGAAATAAAATTGTATACAAAATATTTAGATTTCAGCATTAAATAATCCATAGAGGTTGATATGTGGCTAAACAAAACCAACTAACCAATCTCCTCTTTACCTCTACCAGGATGAGTAGATCCCTCAAAATTATATCCACATGCCAATTGACACACCAATCTACCTATCACTGTTGTGGATTTTCAAAAGAAAATGGCTACTATAACTTGTATCAAAAATTAAAAAAATAAATATAGTATTAAAAAAATTTGAATAATTCAATTTTTCTTTATTGTTCTTTTCTACATCAACCAATGCCCAAATAAAAAAAAAAAAAAAAAAAAAAAAAAAAACAACTATATTGCAATCAAAGAGAAAGTGACTATTCTTGTTAAGTGGTCACCACACCTATTTCACACACCATCTATCATACACTTATAAATATGCAGTTTATATATAATAAAAGAGAAATGACATACACCTGGACACACATAACTAAGAAATCTGTAAATTTTATACAAAACATTGAAAAGAAATTGTTTGGTGCAAGATGACTCATAAAATGTTAATGTGTCTAAAATTTATATTTCCTTCATTTCTACACATGGATATGCACTTATATATTTTTTTTTCATTTCTTTTTTTTTTCTTTTTTTTATTCCATCTATGATTATATTTATTGTCCAAACTCTTGATCTTGAAAATGGTGATACAAATAAAGTTAAAGACTTTTGGACACTTACTACACATACTATCTACTAACCTACAGTCACTTATGAAACAAAGAAAAATTAAGTAAAAAATAAAAATTCCTTGTTTGTATAAAAAAGACTGTGCAAAGTTTCTTTTTTTCTTTCTTTTAAATCATTTCACCCCAAGTAAGGTGATAATGCCACTAAGACACCAGGAGCTACAGGGAATTAAAGAGAATGAAAAGACTTTAGAAGGAACTGGAAATCCAACCCGACACAAGGAAACAAACCTCAAAAAACCAGGTAGATAGTAAACCTATCTACTCTAGTGTGTGTGTGTGTGTGTGTGTGTGTGTGTACATACACAAGAAACAAAACCAAATCAAATCAAATCAAATCCTGACTAAAAATGCTAATTTTTACTTGAGAAAAGTAAGCTTTCACTCCTCCATGCACAGTCCAATTTTCTGAATATCTTGACAAGGGATTGTCACTAGAATGCCACAATGATTAATAGAAAATGTGAGTTTTATGATAGAAAGCAATATACAACCACACAAAAGTTTGGGGGTCACTCTATGCCCCTGTTGTTAATTGTACAGCTGTATTTAGGTTTTTTGTTATATGCAATATTTGTAGTAATATAAAATAGGAAAACTATATTGTCCAATAAAGTCATTGTTTAATTAAATGTAGTTAAAATAAGCATTATGAATGCTCATTTCCTTAACATTAAAATAAATAAAAAGCAAAATGAACAAAGAGTGAAGAAGAAAAAAAAAAGGCCAATTCCAAACTTATCAACAAGTCTCATGTTGATAACATACTCAGTTACCTACTGCCAGGTAACATTCAATTAATGCAAATGTGTGTTTTTTTTTTTTTTTTTTTTTTTCTTGCTTTAGTTCATACTCCTACATTATAGGAAATTGAAAAGTCATTCCTGATTATGTTTTTTCACAAACATTTTTCTCTTTCCTTAAATTTCATCTGGCAAAAAATAAATAAAAATTTAAAAAAATAAAATAAAATGCTAAAAAAATAGTGTTAAAAAAATAAAAATATTAAAAAAAAATAAAAATTTAAAAACAAATTAATTTAAGTTTTTAAATTTACTTTTAAATAAAAATTAAATAAAAAGTTTAAAAATTAATTTTTTAATAAATTACAAAGAGTTCAATATCTGGCTGTAGCCGTGCTATAGAGAGGAGAAATTGAAAAAGGAAAGATGATTAAAGAAGACTCATATCTTTCAATGTTTGTTTTTCTAAAGTGTAAATGCAGAATCAAAAGTTGAGTTAAATGTTCAGCTACAAATAAACATTAATAACAGTAAAAGGCTGATAATGTTTTACTGAAGTGATAAAACAATTCAATAAACTCTAAATAAATATTAACTGCAAATAACTTATGACAAGATGAACCATTCATTAAAGAAACAAACTGCATAATCACCGATGATTAGCAAAAGTCTTTCAGATTTATCCCAAATATTTAAAAACTCAACCCTGGTATTTGAGAATACACGAAAATATGCAAATTTCCCCAATAACTAATATTAATTCATTATACAAAAAAAAAAATAAATAAATAAATAAAATTTTTTTTTAAGCACGTCTTTAGTAATACAGTTTCACACACACACATTACTAGCAAATTCTGTTGCAGTATGCAAACAACTATAGCATAAAAATATTTATTTAAAAGTGAAAAGAAAAAGAAATAAACAAAGAAATAAAAATTTCCTGAATTATGATCTGTTATAAAATTGGAAAAAAAAAAGAAAAAAAAAGTCCAGACAAAATTAAATAAAAGTTAACCAAAATAAATAAAAACTGAAACTAAACTGAATAACCAGTTGGTAAACGACATTCCTGAGAATAGAGGGGGCCATAGTTATTAGCAAGGACAGTCACAACGCATAAGCAAAACACTAATTGTCTATTATGCATGCATGCACACAAGAAGAGTATGACAGAGACTGACAACATGGCTTCACCCTACAATGAGATAAATCATAAAGGAGTGTCAGCCATATTGAATTTTACTTATAAAGTGATGAAAGAAACAAAAATCAAAAAAATAATGTAGAGGTCATGAAAAGTTACACTTGGATATTCTAAACTGAAAAACTTATACAAATATTTGAAAACTTTCACCTTGAGTTTTTAAATCATTTTCTTTGTAGAGCAATTATTGTAAATAGTTTGTGTTTCTGTTTTATACTTTGTATAGACAGGGAAACTACAGGGTACCCAGTAAAAAAGCAGTAAATTCAGAAAGGCATGAGACAACTGTTGACAACTGATGTGACTGAAAAATTCAGGAAGAATTTCTGCACATTTAGTCAATCCCTACATCGGATGTTCTTTGAAAAGTACAATAACTTGACACTCAAAATCAGTGAGTTGTTTAGTCATAAGAGGAAGGCAGAACGAAAGATGGAAGTTGTGTGCAAATTATCTTTAAATGATGATTCACAAGATCGAGCAGCAATTGATCAATCATTAGAGAATCAATCAGAGTTACATAATTATGTCAATGTCAAATGATTATTCAACGTTATGAATATTTAATTTTATTAATAGTCAATAAAACAGATGCATTAAAACTAACCCATCTCAATTTTACAAGTTCATAGGAAAAGAAATTCAAAAGTTTATATTATTTTTACAAATGATACACCTATCACAAGGTAACTTAGCTTGAAACAAAATAAATGGCCACTTTGTGATTTGTTCAATTTATGTCAGGTCATTCTACAAGTGCTACTGGTAGCATATAACCCAGTACTACCTGCCACATGATTGCGCCATTGGCAACTAAACTGGTTCTCCTACTTGACTTTTCTGGTAGGAAAGGTGGTTAGACACTCAGCAAGATTAAAAACAAGACCTGTCGAAGGGTCAACAGCCATCTTAGCACAATGGGGTAGACTGTGCTCCACAGCTATATATATGTGTGGTGATAAATCAGCATCACTGGGTGGAGGACTTCTTAGACTGGAGTCAACTGCCAGGGTGTAAGGTTCCTCTGATGGAATTAACAGCTACATGTCCATGACCAAAGTGAGCCTTTAATTTGGAGGACACCACCTGTGGTTTTCAACCCAGGTATGTGGTCAGGTGCTCAGTGACTCTATGACTGCACCTGGTCATGTAACTAACACTGATGATTTATACCTCGTTTGTATAAGTTTTTACCTCATTCATTCCTTCTTTACTGCTTTCAATTCTTATAAATCCAGGTTAATTTTGCAGAAATGAGCATCATCAACAACTTGTTAATCAACTGATTGATGCCTTGAACAGTTTTCACGGTTTTGTAACTGCTTGTGCAAGAGGGTCAATTCCATGAGAAAAACAGAGAGAGAGAGAGAGAAACTTCAAAACAGGTCCACTGTCAAGGAAAAAAAAGTAACTCAATCCAACACCATAAATTTATGGAACATGTGGTCCACCATAGATCATAG